AACTTTTTATTGTATTTTACATATTCATTGTCGTAAAATATCTTTATATATTTAAAAAAAACAAACAAAATTAAACAGATTATCTCTACAATTTTATACTTATATTAAATCATGCGTAAATAAGATAATATTTTTCTTTACGACAAAAATTTTCCAAGTATATTAAAAAGAAATCACAACTTTTAGTCACAAGTCGGCGAATAAATGGTGATAGTTGTGTTAACTCTATTGACTGAAAAACGGCTGATTGGCCAGACGCAAATTCTTACGGGCGAAAGTCAAACAGCACGTAACACACGTGCATAAGCATGAAGAAAGAGAGAGATAGAGGAGGGAAACAGCGACAGAGAATAACAGGGCGTGATAAATACGTATCGCCGGCACGCGTTGAATCACGCGGTAATTCCGCTCGCACGATGGCACGTGAAACTCGAACTCGGTCTATACGAGAAACCTTATTATTACGGACGATCCAAAAATCGCGCGAACGAATCCTTCCTCCAGACTCCAGACCTCCTTCATCGCGCGCAGAATTTCATCTCTAAACCAGCATCAATAAGAAGACTGTTTTTTCAAACATCGATTTCTGTCTGCAATTAAAGCACTTTTTTTATCGCTTTATCACATCTGTTCGCTTAAAATGTCCCGCAAAACATATTTTTTTGTTTGCTGTCAAATTCAACGTCTGCCAAACGCGGAGCTCTATAAATAATATGTGTAATAATTTTGTTTCTCCCTTTCTCTCTCTCTCTCTCTCTCGCTTGTGCCAAAGTTATATTTTACCACTCAACGTTTAAATGTTATCTGGCATGTTGTTATGAGCTTATCGCGAGCAATTGCACGAGATTGGAAATCGGAAAAAAACAGCGTGGAAAAAAACTTATCGCCAAATTGACAAGACACATCGTTATTTTATTTCGATGAAAACAATATCGCGATATTCATTAATTCGCCTCACAGGCGAGATATACAGTACATTGTATGTATATGTAGGTATCATTGCGCGTGCATGAACGATCATTGCTCGATGTTTGCAACGGTGTTTCTGCCATCACTCGATATAGCTCGAAATTAAATGTGGTCCGCGCGACAAATTTAACTTGGAAGACCTAACAGTTACGACAAACGTGTGCGCGCGTACTCTAATTTTGGCACGTTTGCCATTTGGATCAACGACACCGTGTTTTCAACATTTGTCGCGATACTGGTTACTATAAAAAGAAATATTCGCGATTAATAGAAAAAAACAACATATTTATTGCTTGTATACAGAGAATTTTCTCTTAAAATTTACCCTGAAAATCTTAGTAATCGTGGGACAATATGGTATTGAAAAAATTTTATAAGAGTTTCTCTTAATTAATATACTTAATATTTACCACGATAAAAAATATCTATCACAATAAGATAAAATATTCGATTAATTTTGCTATGTACAAATATTAATTTGTAATATTTTTTATTGTGGTAAATATTAATCAGAGAAACTCTTATAAAATTCTCTCCGCGTAGCTTTCGAGAAATACTTATAGCAAAAATTGTATTATTATATAGTTATATTAACTTTTTATTGTATTTTACATATTCATTGCCGTAAAATATCTTTCATTTTTTTTCTCCAAGTTTTGCTCTCGACTGTGAAAATAAGATGCAACATTGTGTGCATTAAACGAGATACGCCCAGGCGGTCTCCTATTGCATGTGATGCCGTTGCGAGCGTTATTTGGGTCGCGTGCGATCACGACTCGATCGTTTTCCACAAGTAGTTTTCTGGTCACGTCACTCGTTTCCATGAGTGTTCTCGCCACGTGATGCCGACTTGGTGATATTTTATGGAAATAAACGGGGGCGGAGGACGCGCGCACGCATAAACGCCTTCAATGTTTTTCACGAAAATCAATCAGAACCATTCGAAAGCGGAGCTTTCTAATTTTTATCAGAAACTATGCAGTTTTTTAAATTTTTTACAAAAATTTTCTTATCAAAAATTAATAATTACAATCAAATTTAAATGCCATTAAATTAACAGTCAAATAAATTATCCAGCCCTATTATTGATATTTCGTCTCTGATTCGCGTAAAACCCATTTTATCCATCGATTTTGATCGCATTATTTTAAAATCGAGTATGAATTGTCTCTATATCGTAAAAAAAATATATTTCAGAGTTTCTTTCAAATACACCCCGCAGGCACGTATCGGCGAGTCGCTGAGCACGGTGGAGCGCTATCAGACCAGGCGTCTTCTTTCGAAACTCATCGCCGTGCGAAGCGCGACTCGACAACGACGGTTCCAGAAAGCGACGTGGAGAAGCGCGTGACTCGAATTATCTCGCCTGCCACGTGTAGATCGCGATGAAGGAGCGAAAGAGACGGAGTAACTTCAAGTAGAACGGATCGAGGCTATGCCTCGGCTCTCGTAACATGCCGATGCCAGGATGCTTCAACGTTATAATGCGCTCATTATCGCACGAAACGCATAACAAGAAAATAACCAAGTAAATAATGAAGTATATGAGATATGAATTAAAATGTGTTTACTTCGCTCTCTATTCATTATACAGTTATTAATTATTTAATAGTAAGAGCATATACTTATGTGTGTATTTCATAGTGTATTTAAAACATTGTGAAAAATGTTTTAAAAAGAAAAAAATTCGTTTCTTGTTTCTGAGGCAACGAAATTATTTGACGTCCAATTAATGATTATCCATCTAATTGAAGATATATGGCGAGGCCAAGCTACACTTTGCGACGAAGACACGCCAAGTTTCGGCACGTTGCGTGCGTGTGAAAGCGCCCGGCCTCTTCTCTTTCGTCACATAAAACAGATTTAAGGCCGTGGATCGACGTAAGGACATGCACACTCGATTCTCAAATAAATTCGCATAGAGGCAACGTTACGGTCCGTCAACGTTGCGCTATAGATGCTTTACATAATTTACCGACGCAATGCGAATTAGGCACGCTTTAACTGGTAATGCAATTAAACTTTTGTAATCCCGATGTGTGCAATTTCACGAGTGATGAGAGAGAAAGAGAGAGATTGATAGTTACGTAACTTGGAAGATTCGTCGCGTGTTGCGCAAGGACGAATAAAAACGCGAAGATTTCCTATTGCCTGTCTTTTTTCGAAGGATATTAATGCGATCGTCAGTTGACGTCGTCTTGATACGAAATTCCTTCTCGCTTCCACAGACACAATCTCGAAAATCGATCGTATTGGGAGAGAAAAAAACGACTTAAAAAGTTATTTAAAAAGTTACCGTTCGGATTGATTAAACTGATTTGAAATCGACAGACTATTTTGATGAAACGAATCTCTCGTCGCGTGTTAAAAATAATAACATCAATCACTTCCATCCGCGAATCTTATTGATCGAACACACTGCTTTCTCTCAACTGTCGCGAATGATACGTCGAGAGAGAGAGAGACGGAACATTCCTTTCTAATCCAGACCCCGCGTGTAATCATCGCAACATCTCGAGAAGACACCTCGTCATGTTTCCAAGAGCCATTTCCTGAACAAGGGAACCTCTCGGTTTAGTAAGAGAACGGTGATTACGACACGCACGAAAGAAAGAAGAGAAATTTACCGAACAGAATCCCGATCTCGGATAAAAGTGTCGAAAGATTCGCACGACCAACCGGAAGATCTTTTTGCGAGCAAATCCGGTTACAGTCGCTTTGCAATAAAATATACTTTAGATGTTACAGCTTTAGATTCTATACATCTCGTATGTTTTTTTTCCTATTAGTCTAAAGATAAAATTGTTATTAACGGCAAATTATTTTTGCATGCACGTGGCTTTATAATAACGGTTCGTGTTACCTGCAGAAAATAGCATTCAACACGAGAAGTGTGGTCTGTACAAATTAGAACTGGTTGTCACAAGCAGAAGCATCGCGTCAGCCATTATATTTGCGTGAGTCACGTTTATCGCTATTTTGAAAAACGCGGGCTATAAATACGATAATGCAATGCAACGCATTCTTGGCGTTACGCGATAGTGTTATTATCTATCAGAGCGTGATATGCATGCATTTTATCGAAAGATTTAACTATTACTTTTCTTCTTTTATATAGCTAATTATAGATATATATCTACGTAAAAATGATACTTCAATAATTTCCCGACATTTATAGAAGTGAGAAGATGATATACGGAGAATCGACGCACCTCGACGATCCCCGATAAGAATTTGGCATACATCGATGTCCGATTTCGCGCGATCACTGTGTCACAATCGTTGTTTTCAGGACATGACGTGGCTACGTTGCGTCATCGCTGATTCGACAACACGGAAAACCTCTCTTCGTGCCGTGATGGCCTAAATAACACGTAGTTTCTCGCATATCTCCGATTTCGGAAGCATCTTTCGGCCGATATGTCGCGAACGTGCGATGACAAAACGCGAATTGAAGACTCTCGATTGAAACGAGAATGTAAATTCGCGCGAAAAGTTCTCTTTAAAATTCATTGTCCACGTTTGCAAAGAGAAAGCTATCGTACGAGAAGTATATTGTTATATAATTTATAATAACTTGCATTTATGCGGAAATAAAAACAGCGAGATATTAATAAGTGACGCTAAGATAGATGATGTTTCTTAAATTAAACATTTTATATAAATATTAAAGGATATGGCATATTATCTATTTAATTTACACGTTTTTTCTCGAAAATGTACGTTGTATAGTTTGAAAACCAAATTAGCGAATATTAACGTCAAGCTAATAACAAAATTATAATTAGTATTTTTTACTCATGCGCGCAATATTTGCTTCGAACTGAGAGGTTGTATCTCTGCAAATAATTTTCTCGGGAAACAGAAACATTTTTGCGTTTTCATTTAAGCAAATGTCAAACGCAGTAAAAAACAATCGACACACGGATATCTGGCAGGCACAAATTAACCGCGCGTTGCTTAATATTTCGCCGATTGGCAAAGTGTTTATTATGGAACTGATGATGTATAAAAATGAGCTCATGACTCACCCTGGAGACCTTCTTCTTAGTATAAACCTCGTCATCCTCCGAGGCCGTGGCGAAGTTCAGGTTGCCCTCGCAATATCCAGCTCCTATGCCCATGCTGTATATCTCGTCCTTGCAGGAGCTACCATCCAGACTGAAAAAAAAAGAACAAACATGATTAATTATTCATGTATAAATCCGAAAACGCAACATTGATCGCTTAAAAAAAGTCACTTGACTCGTCCTTCTTTAGTTTTAAGCTACGAAAACAAAATTACGATATTCATACACATAAAATATTCCAAAGCATTTTATTCTTCATCTGATCCGTACTCGGAGAAAATTTTCTCTTAGAATTTATAGCCTGAAAATCATGGTAATAATCGTGGAACAATATTACAGAAGAATTTTATAAGAGTATCTCTCTGATTAATATTTAGCGCAATAAAAAATATTAATATGATGTGTGTGAAGTTAGCATCTCAAATGTCAGCATCTCACAAATAAACGTCAAATTTTCTTGCATCCAGCATAGTTCTACAGTTCTTGATAAGTTTTAACAATAGTTCCGTCGAATTAACTATTAATATATAGATTTGACGAAATGAGATGCCAACTTCCAAAAACACCTTATAGCATCTCATCATATTTCAAATATTTGGTCACAAAACAGTAATATTCCGCAGAGTTCTATCGCTTACACACATTCTGTCAATAGTTCTGTCGATAAAACACCATAGAAAATAATTTGTCATTACAAAACAAATTTACGTACAGGTGTAAGATGCGTTTCGATAGTTCTGTCGATTCTAAAACAGTTCTGATATTCTTACATAGTAAAAGAATTAGTTTCTAAAGAGTTCCGAGCGATGGTTGCTTGAAATTATTTACGAAAAATTTTTTACTTGCGCGCGAGATCGCATATACGTGTATAGATGTGAGATGCCGGTCGATTTTCAACAGTTCTGTCGATTTTAAAATAATTCTGATATTCTTACTTAAACAGAGAATTAGTTTCTAAAGAGTTCCGAGCGATGGAGGCTTGAAATTATTTACGAAAAATTTTTTACTTGCGCGCGAGACCGTATATACGTGCGTATAGATGTGAGATGCCGGTCGATTTTCAACAGTTCTGTCGATTTTAAAATAATTCTGATATTCTTACTCAAACAGAGAATTATTTTCTAAAGAGTTCCGAGCGATAGAGGCTTGAAATTATTTACAAAAAATTTTTTACTTGCACGCGAGACTGCATATACGCATATAGATGTGAGATGCCGGTCGATTTTCAACAGTTCTGTCGATTTTAAAATAATTCTGATATTCTTACTTAAACAGAGAATTAGTTTCTAAAGAGTTCCGAGCGATGGAGGCTTGAAATTATTTACAAAAAATTTTTTACAGGCGCGCGAGACCGTATATACGTGTATAGATGTGAGATGCCGGTCGATTTTCAACAGTTCTGTCGATTTTAAAATAATTCTGATTTCTTACTCAAACAGAGAATTATTTTCTAAAGAGTTCCGAGCGATAGAGGCTTGAAATTATTTACAAAAAATTTTTTACTTGCACGCGAGACCGCATATACGCGTATAGATGTGAGATGCCGGTCGATTTTCAACAGTTCTGTCGATTTTAAAATAATTCTGACATTCTTACTTAAACAGAGAATTAGTTTCTAAAGAGTTCCGAGCGATGGAGGCTTGAAATTATTTACGAAAAATTTTTTACTTGCGCGCGAGACCGTATATACGTGTATAGATGTGAGATGCCGGTTGATTTTCAACAGTTCTGTCGATTTTAAAATAATTCTGATATTCTTACTCAAACAGAGAATTATTTTCTAAAGAGTTCCGAGCGATAGAGGCTTGAAATTATTTACAAAAAATTTTTTACTTGCACGCGAGACTGCATATACGCATATAGATGTGAGATGCCGGTCGATTTTCAACAGTTCTGTCGATTTTAAAATAATTCTGACATTCTTACTTAAACAGAGAATTAGTTTCTAAAGAGTTCCGAGCGATGGAGGCTTGAAATTATTTACGAAAAATTTTTTACTTGCGCGCGAGACCGTATATACGTGTATAGATGTGAGATGCCGGTTGATTTTCAACAGTTCTGTCGATTTTAAAATAATTCTGATATTCTTACTCAAACAGAGAATTATTTTCTAAAGAGTTCCGAGCGATAGAGGCTTGAAATTATTTACAAAAAATTTTTTACTTGCACGCGAGACTGCATATACGCATATAGATGTGAGATGCCGGTCGATTTTCAACAGTTCTGTCGATTTTAAAATAATTCTGATATTCTTACTTAAACAGAGAATTAGTTTCTAAAGAGTTCCGAGCGATGGAGGCTTGAAATTATTTACAAACAATTTTTTACAGGCGCGCGAGATCGCATATACGTGTATAGATGTGAGATGCCGGTCGATTTTCAACAGTTCTGTCGATTTTAAAATAATTCTGATATTCTTACTTAAACAGAGAATTAGTTTTTAAAGAGTTCCGAGCGATGGAGGCTTGAAATTATTTACGAAAAATTTTTACTTGCGCGTGTGGCCTTATTTACGTGTAGAAAGTGACAGAAGCATTCGGACCGTCCGTTCGGACGTATCGTACGCCAACGTACGCTTGCGCGCCTGACACAAAGGTAGCAGGTCTCTTGCATTTCAGATCTGAGATTAAATATGATTTTATTTGTTTTATTACGTGAATTTTATTTTTGTTTAATTACGTGAATTTTATTTTTGTTTTATTACGTGAATTTTATTTTTCATTTATTACGTGATCTTTCAGTGCAAAATTTTAAGATAGCTAAAAAAATTTATAAAATATTAAAGCATAAAATAACACTAAAAAGAAAAAAACAAAAAAATATAAAAAATTAAAAAAAAAACAAAAAAATTTTTAAAACCCCAAAAAAACGAAAAAAAATGGAGCCAAATCTTACCACGTCCCCGTCGTTGGTTCCGTGTAGTGCCAAGAGTAAGAAAATCCGACAAATAAAATATCAAAACATGCAATACATAGAAAATTTTAAAATACAAGCACAAAAATCAATTGGAGCATCTCACATCTATACGCGTATATGCGGTCTCGCGCGCAAGTAAAAAATTTTTTGTAAATAATTTCAAGCCTCTATCGCTCGGAACTCTTTAGAAAATAATTCTCTGTTTGAGTAAGAATATCAGAATTATTTTAAAATCGACAGAACTGTTGAAAATCGACCGGCATCTCACATCTATACACGTATATACGGTCTCGCGCGCAAGTAAAAAATTTTTCGTAAATAATTTCAAGCCTCCATCGCTCGGAACTCTTTAGAAACTAATTCTCTGTTTAAGTAAGAATATCAGAATTATTTTAAAATCGACAGAACTGTTGAAAATCGACCGGCATCTCACATCTATACACGTATATACGGTCTCGCGCGCCTGTAAAAAATTTTTTGTAAATAATTTCAAGCCTCCATCGCTCGGAACTCTTTAGAAACTAATTCTCTGTTTAAGTAAGAATATCAGAATTATTTTAAAATCGACAGAACTGTTGAAAATCGACCGGCATCTCATATCTATACACGTATATGCGATCTCGCGCGCAAGTAAAAAATTTTTTGTAAATAATTTCAAGCAACCATCGCTCGGAACTCTTTAGAAACTAATTCTTTTACTATGTAAGAATATCAGAACTGTTTTAGAATCGACAGAACTATCGAAACGCATCTTACACCTGTACGTAAATTCGTTTTGTAATGACAAATTATTTTCTATGGTGTTTTATCGACAGAACTATTGACAGAATGTGTGTAAGCGATAGAACTCTGCGGAATATTACTGCTTTGTGACCAAATATTTGAAATATGATGAGATGCTATGAGGTGTTTTTGGAAGTTGGCATCTCATTTCGTCAAATCTATATATTAATAGTTAATTCGACGGAACTATTGTTAAAACTTATCAAGAACTGTAGAACTATGCTGGATGCAAGAAAATTTGACGTTTATTTGTGAGATGCTGACATTTGAGATGCTAACTTCACACACATATTAATATGTATAGTAAATTTTACTAAATATAGTTTTTAGTAAAATTCTCCCAATTACCATAATGCCCCACGATTACCATGATTTTCGGAGTAAATTCTAAACGAAAATTTCTCGGAAAATTTTCTCCGTGTAATATAATTATGGCAATCTCACGAAAGTTAGATTTTTCGTTAATTATGAAACGAAATCCTTTCCCCGTTTTGCGTCGTGAGAAAGAAAACGGATTAAAGGTCGAAAAAAAAAATTTTAACTTGCGCTTGATGCGCGCATCACGACGCTGTCAAGAGGTTAAATGCATCTAGTGCGTCGAAGTGCACGAAGCTTACATAACGGCACGACACGAATATATGTTTCAGTCAATAACCCTGTGCACGTCCCTTGCCCCGTTATAGATTTTCCGCCGCGAATAAAGTGAACGGGAGAGGCACGAGGCCCCGGCGCATTATTGATAAGTCCAACAATATCGTATCTTATAAAACTTGCAGGCGACACCGTTTTTCTCATCGTCGTCGTACGGTGTACGATGTCTTGTCGACGAGGAATTGTCCACTGTTTGGCGTGAATTTTTAACGAGTTAAGAGGAGTATCGCCGGCTCTCCTCGCATGCTGTGAGTGACACAAATATATACGCCGTAACTTCGCCAAGGCGGATCGGAAGGTCGCCGGCATCGGTAATCCGCTAATAAGCCATCAGAAATCGGGTCTCATTCGTCGCTAATAACTTATGCATAGGAGAGCTGCTAGAGACACGTGATAACAGTGCTCGAGAATCGTTCCCATTACATACGATATTAAAGTAGAGATTCTTTTTCCGCTGTCTTTGAGAGACGAATTTACCTTATATTTTTATAGTATATCGAGTTAATGAATGCTTACGTCAGCAAGTTCCGCTAATTACATTGAGAGGAAGTGCGAAAATGCTATCGTCATCTTTTGTATCCTCTGACTTATATAGCTTCGAGTATAATATAACTCCGTGAATATTTAATGCGATTAAATTAGGAGCTATAATAAAATCAGCTTATTAAAATTCCTGGAAGGCAATAAATGCTCTGAAAAATAAAACCTATTTTTGCGGCGAAGATCGGAATTTATGTTCTA